TCAGTTATGAGACGGCGTATACTAGTTGTATGTATATATTGCATTTAGCCTATAGCTGTCAATTGACGTAATAATATTTATTGTATATTCATGTACCGATGGGTAGAGTATGTTTTTTACTACAGGCTTCTACGAATAAAGTCGCAAAGAGAAATGATTTCCCGTTTCTACTTTGTACGATGTATGTTGTGCACTATAGTTATTAGACGTCATCGCATCAGAATGTAGCATTTGGAATAACCTGCTTATGACATCAGTGAAAAAGAATTCCTTTGACGGGTGTAAATATACGCTTTGAGGTATGGGTTTTTCAAACGAGTAATTGTTTGTCCGCTCTTCCCGTTCTTAATTTGTTTTCGTTTTGGAAGCACCGAACGCGTACACTCGGTTATCTCATCTCAAGTATAGCCTACGAAGACTGTCACGTACCTTGCAAACGGCAAAAATCATTTCCTTTGATATCAGGATATGAAGAGAAGAAAACTTGTAATAAATGTTCACCGAACATTATTCACAGGTTCCATTCCAAACGTCCGCAGAACCTCAGAGTTGCTCCCTCATAGAAATTCTACTCCTGACATCCCGTTGTCTAGTCGAAATCCAATTTTCGCGTCTCCCTGGAGCTTTTTTGAACGCAGGAAGAACCACCACTAGACGCTATCAGTTCACCCATATTTGAAACTACTTTTTTGTGTGAAGAGTCGCTCATTCGGAAGGAGACTTGAACGCCCGTTGGAGCCGAACCCCGGCGGCTGCGGCGCTGGCAGCGCGTACAAAGCGTCGATTTCCCCAGCGCAGAGCGGCGTCGCGGCGCCGGAAGCGTCGCAACGCTCCCACGTGCCCCTTTCGCAAGGGGCGCCCGCCCCCCGCCCCCCAGCGCCCCTTGCGCGCGGCGTTGCGGGCCACCACGGCCGCTGATTGCAGGCCCCGCCGCCCCCGCCGTTCAGTAGTATCTGTTCTGCAGCTCAGCAACCCCTGCGTGTGTGTTGCAGGCTGCCATGGCCGCCGATTGGAGGCCGGCGCGGACGCCGCCCCCGCCGCCGCGGCTGCTGCTGATGCTGCTGCTAGCCGTGTCCATCTCGTGCGCTGCCTCAGCACCTGGTAAACTCTTGGCTCGCTTCGGCGCCGCTCCAAATGAGATCTGCGCAGGGTGGGCAGATGTGTTGGCGTTTAGCAACGCTCTTCTCCCTTCAACACATGGCGACACCAAACTATTGGATAATTTTGTCTCGTTCATCGTACAATTAAAACAATTGTATCTGTTTACAACTTTAATATTTTTATTCGCCACTACATTCCATCTCAAGTTCACATATGTGTCGTTGTTTCAACCCTTAGTTTTGATCCGTGAGAATATGTCTTTGAAACAGCGCAAGCATCCTTTTTGAAGTACTTAAAATTGTTAGAATTTTATACTTATGTGAATAGTTTTAAGCATTTGTTTCACATTTTTTTAAATGTTCGTGAACTTTTTCTTTTTCAGATATTTATTTACTATAGACTCGTAATATTTTAATAGAATATAATATGTTACTAAAGTGATTGAATGAAAGAATTGGAAGTAAATTTCAGTACTCAAATATGTTGAATGTTAAAATACTAGAGTATTTTCTTACTTATAAAAGATGTAGTCAATGTCCCATTTATTCATAAAAATGCAGAAAGATAATGAACACGATGTAAGGTAATAAATGCTCATTACTTTTACCGGAGGTTTTATCTGTTGTATCAATAATAATCATAGTAATAATAATAATAATAATAATAATAATAATAATAATAATAATAATAATAATAGTATGTCTCGTTCAAAATTATATTTCACATGGATTGCGCTATGGTTTATTACAGAAAACTGCAAAAATGATAAGCTTTAGAACAAATCAAGAAGAATTATTCTAACTGCATTGTTTACATTTTTTGAATCTTATAAAAAGTCATACTTGTGAAATAAAATATGTTTTGTGTTATTTTAAAGACATTAAGAAAAATTTTTCAATGTCTACGAAATGCTTAAATTTAATTAATTCTAGATTGGTTCGGATTTTTGTAGTCGTTTTAAGTTTTTATTTATGAACAATAGTTGCATTTTGTGGCATTAACTTATAAATATCATATAAGTCGAATTTATACTAACAGTGCTAAACGTCGTGAAAATAATACTAATTCAGGTTTCACAGATAAAAAATATATATATCTTACAATTTTTCCAAAAAATAAACTTCATGGATATATAATTATTATATCTGCAAGGAGGTTTACGTTACCCGGTGGCAGCTCTTCATGACTCAAACGCTGTCAAACATGTTAATGGAATTACGATTTAGGTTGATGCATACAGTGTATACATTTAGGTGGTTACAAGAATTCGAATTATAAAATTTCTTAAACTGAAACCCATAAATGTTGCCAATTTGTGTAAAAATGAGATTTTCAAAGTCTCATTTAATCGAATCGCTTGAAAACATGTCTCATGAGCCCTAAAAGTTAAAGAAAAGAAACTTTTCTAAAAAATCGAGACTATTTTGTAATAAAATGAGAAGAATTTGTCCCTGGAACGTATTCCTTTTTAGTGTTGTAGGAAATAATTTTTCTTTCACTTTTATCTGCACAACTTGTTTTACAGACGTACAGTTTTGATGATATATGGGATTTTCTTAGATGAGACGTAGAAATTCCCACTACTTAGTATTTCAAATAATATTTTCTATAATGGTTTAGTTATTTAGCATCAAATTGTTCAAGTAATGTGCTTTTTAATTATATATTTTCATTATGTTCAATGAAAAGAATTAGGATTCCCCACGTTGTATCATCAGCATCATTCATATGCAACGTAAAAATTAAGACGTTAATTTTCTTTGATCTAAACCTTCATTTAGTTACCTAAGCTCTCCTCTGCATTCATTCCAAACAGTTGAGTTGTCGTGCATTACGAGGTCAGAGAGAGTGTATGGGAATGAGATGTCAGTCTCACACTAGGTATTAAAGTTGAAGGACGGAGGTGAAAAATCGTGTCCCATTTTATGAATGCCGACTCTACTTTCTACTGAGAGGTCTGGGGAACCACCAAAATCTCTTGTCGGCATGAAAATTGTATAATTCGGAAAGAATACTGTTTGTTAAGTATTCTCTCATGCTAAAGGCTCACTTGTGGCAGTAAATGGCAGCATCTGTGTGGCAGTAAAAATTCAAGCGTCGTGATATTTTTATAAATTGCTGGCAAACCTACAGTCAATTTCAAATTTGATTTAAAGTAATCTGTGAATTAATTAACCACTATATGAACTTTTCATTGCTTGAGATAGTGAAATTAAGGTAGTTTGCATTCATTCACATATGTATCAGTAAAAATGATTTTTTAAAGAAATAATTCGTTTAAAAATTAATTGTTTGCGATTGTAATAAAGCGAATTAAATGTGGAACGTTTTGAAGCATGTTGTGTAAATACTGAATCAACGTGACGTTTCAGTTCACAATATCATTGTTTTTGTTGTTTTGACGAATTGTGCCTTTAATGCCTATCACCATATTATTTAAAGTCCCACTTCACACACGCCAGCATGAAACTCGTGCAAAAGAATAACGAGTAAGTATAAGGAACACAAAAGAAATTTGGCGTACATATACGTTGTCACTATTCTTCATTACAATATTCTGAGATAGGTAGAGGAAATCATGTCAGTACGTGCGAACAGTTGTAAAGAAAAGCTTTTTATGAGTGGCCTGTAATTAACGCCCGCCCACCTGACACGGGAAGAGACCCCGGCAGCCAAGCATCACAGCATTCTCACTCAGTCCCCCCAGACAGCCACTCTACGAAAATTAATTTGTTACGTATTCTAACAATCTGGAGGAGATCATTTTCCCCTTTTACTTCGTAAACAATGTCTACGTATAAATATGAATGCGACTAATCAACGTGAATTACATAATACTACATTAACATTGAGTGTTATAAACGCTATATAGCACAAATCTATTTGCGAAAGAGTAGTTTGTACAATTTTTTAAATTAAAAATTGGAAGTTGGAAGTTTTGAATTAATACTGCATCTACACCGATACTGGCCATACTTTCCTAGTTTTCATAGATAGACAGAAGGGTAGTGTTTGCATAATTTTTTCTTCTGCTTAATATTTTGCAAAGTAATTGATGTTTATGTTTAATACAAATAAAGTATCATTGTTGTGATCCACGAGGAAAGTTAATGCACGAGGAAAATTCAAAGAATTTTGAAACTACTAATACCGCTGAAACTTCAAATATGAGGCTGATCTGAAAACCCAAATGGCGATATTTGTTTGCATTTATTTGTTTAAATAAAAGACAAAAAAATAATTCATTGTGACATCGATGTATTCTTAGATTTCCTCACCAGGCTCTTCCACAGCTCTCATACTAGTGCCAATCTACCCGAAGGTCAACGAACCCCACTAGTGGGGTTAGTTGGCATATCTTGACTTAGACTTAAAAATTCGACATTCAAATTTACAAATAAAATAATCGATAGGGTAGGTTAATAAATAAAAATTCCATTGATACAGTCACACTTGTCCGAACTAAGTTACGAAAAAAATTAAAAACTACATCGTGGTGCCGATGACTCCCAGTCGCCCCTACAGAACTGCCCCAACCAATATATTTTTTACGAAATGTGAGGATTAGAGAACTCGTGTAAAATTAACTCTCAAGTTTTTGTAAGTTTTTAACACATCATTTTCGGAGATGATATTGATACGAATGTTAAGTAGAAGGTAATGGTGTCCTGATATTTAATAATCAACGATAATTTTTAAACTTTAAAGAATGTTTAATTCGTAAACACCTTGATAATAAAGAATAAATTTCACCTTATTTCAATCATAATTGATATTTTTTTAAATTCATACGTACTACTTCAAAGTCAGACACCCCAAGCCGGATAGTATCGAAGGGGCCGTGGAATGATGAAATGGCTGAAGCGCGAGCGCGAGCTAAGAGCGTCGTGTGTCCACAGGGCTGTGCGAGGTAGAGACCGGCCAGTCCAACATCATCCTGGACATCGAGGAGAGCCGCGGCACAGGTGAGTGCACCCGTTCCCCGTCAAAGGTTAAGTTGATGCTTGCGACTTCCTTAATACTTTTTTTTCCTTTTATTAAGCACCTTGAGATTCTCTGACAACTCTTTGAGGTGCTTTCTTTAATTAAATATTGCATTAAGACTACCCATGCATACAAGATACTAACACTGACATATATCTAAAAGCTTTTAACGATTGTTAAGAAAAGGACTGGCTTGAATGAAATGTCACTATTCATAACAGCGAATATCAATTTCTTACAATTTGCAAGAAAATATCAATCAGCTGTGAATATATCCGAACCGAATCTTAAAAGAGACGTTTACTTTTACATATAATCTATAATATCGGTTACTTCTTCCTTACCTTTATTAAATTACTGTTGATTTTCTCAGTTCACATATTTTAGTCACCCTATTCCTGTTATGGGTTTAGTTCCCATCCAGCTATTATACGTAACAATCCCCCACATTTTCTCACACTTTATTTTCGTTTTTAGTCGTGCATGAGCTGGATATACCCATGTCCGAGGCTTCCCTCGCTCCCATGGCGCCATCGAGGCTATTTTTGGGAGCACACTTCTATCTGGAATGTATGAAATGTAACGACAAATTTAGTTTCCACTTCATAAGTCGCAAGTGGGTATACCAATCCTGCATTGCATTTGTGATTGGTATTGTACTAAAGACATTCTGCTCATGTCAAGTCAGAGATGCATTGAGCATTTCGTACATGTCCGACCTACGGTACCAAGCGGGTTGAGCTTTAGTGGACGTGCGTTGATGTTGAGCAGGAGAAGCAATGGGCGTAAAGCTGGCCTCAGCTCGGCTGAATGTCGCCTGACCTGGGGGGGGGGGTGGCCGCAAGGCATGGGCCAGGCGACGACGCCGGCCGAGCTGCCGGTGGTGGGCGACCCGTTCACGGAGGTGGCGCTGGACCTGACGTTCCCGCGCGGCGCGCCGCTCTTCCTGCTCAACGGCAAGCGCCTGCAGCTGCTGCGCCCGCTGGACCGCGACGCCGACAACCTGTCGCACCTCGTCTTCCAGGTGGGCGCTCCCTCCCGCACTCGCGACGCACGCGCTCGGCGCTCACGGACAGAGACGCCGCTTCTTGGAGCAAGTGTTTTGAGCTGCTTACGTGTGCTTTAAATTATAGAGAAAAAAAAGTTCCAAGTTGTATTCATATTAGCGTGCAACAAATAATGTAAAGAGGAATAATAAATACAACAAAGAACACACATTTGGAGTAAGAAGCATTTTATACTTAATTGAAATATTTCTATAAAATACCGTAGTAACTGATAAATGCAAAACAACTTTTTCTATTAACGTTTTCTAGTAAGAAAGTTTCTATTTACAGTATGAATATTAATTTATTTTTTATTATCTTTCGAAGGAAAAATGTAAGTAAATGAAAGTAAACTTAAAGGTTTAAAGGTGTCTAATATTCAGAGAAAAATCTTTTCAAAGAAATTGAAAGAAAGAGTTCGGTAATAACCAGTTTCAAGAAACTTTCTTATGTTATGAGTAGTACTGAATATGAACGTTTGCGTTGACCCCTTTTAAGAAATCTAAATTTATGTATAGTGGTAAATTGTTTTTCCCAAATCTCGATCAATCTAAAATGTTTTTTAGAGTACTTGCATAGTGATGATTTAAATTTAAGATATTGAACCGATGTATTTATTTATAAGAGTACTTAAATCTAGATGTATTTCCAGTTTATAGTATTCAGGATAGAATAGGTCGATGTTTACTTTTAACATGCATAGGAGTTTCATACATGTCCTGAATTATTCTCATGGCAGTCGACTCTTAGGTAACACTAAAATGCTCCGCGAGTGATTTTACAAATATTCTTAAATAAAATACAAATGTACTGACTTAATTATTTTTAATTACATCGGAAAATTTTAACAACCTGTATTCTGATTACTTTTGTAGTCGTCATCTATTGCACAATCATAATCTAATATCGAACTCATGTAAACATATTACTGTGGATAACTGAAAGAATTGTCTGCCTGCAGCTACACCTATGATCTTGTCCGTGCAACGCTCGCAATGACGGTGCAATGAGCTTACGTTCCAAAGAATATGCTGAGCTGTAAGTGAACAGAGAAACCGTGGATACGTTCGGTTTGAGAATAGCTAGGAGGATTGTTAGAAGTGCTTCGCAAATACGAGAGTTAAAGATTTTATTACGGTCTAATGGAAATATTACCTCGCATTACTTATTCGTAGCTGAATGCGTTAACATGTTTAGCCGTGTGTATTGTTGTTGCCGAAAATATTTTAAATCAAGATGATAGAACATCTATGGGCACACGAGGTGACATATTAGAAAGTGCACTATGTCCAGCAATACTGAATAAACGTACCGGTGTTCTACAGGAAATTGATTGGGGGAGATGCTTATATAGTTTTTGATTGAAACTCTTAAATGAAACCAATTTAAAATTATAATATATCTAGGTAGCTATTATGTTCGTAACTTCATAACAGATATCTAAGATGAAACAACTCATCTAAATGCATGAAATGGTAGTTAGAAAAGTCGCATTAAATACACATTTGCGCTAATACTTTCAGGTCACTCTAAACGTGAATGAAATATGCCAGTGATTTTCTCGATTGGTTAGCCAGGTTTGGCAGTTACACTAAATATGTTTCATTGAAAGTTTGAAATCAATTTTTTTGTTTGGTCTGAAAACAATTTCATATTCATTAAAAATGTTCTGTAAAATTATTAAAACACGAATTCTTATTCTCAGGCAGACACATTCGAGTGTTTGAATTTATGAATCAGGAACGAGCTCTGAACGTGGTTTATAGAGAGAATGTCTAAGAAATAAACGTTTTTCAAATTTGCAACAGTTAATATCCCAATAATTTGAATTATCAAACGTCGAATTACACAGTCTACTTTATAAACATACTTGGAAACCCCAAAAGCCACCGGAGTGTGGAGAGTGTCAGCTGGCGATTCGAGAAGCGCCATTGTTCGTGGCAAATTGGAGATGGGGCCGCGGGCGCTCGAGGGCCGCACTGTGAAACGCCGGGTGGGCGTCGCCGGCCGCCGGAACCGCTCCGCGCCGCCCTGCGCTGCCAAGGTGTCTGTGCGGCTGCGCCACTTGGCTCGCGCGGCGGCCGCCCGGGGGACGCCGCTGGGGCTTTGTCCGCACGGCCTCGGCCCTAAGAGATGATACATGTTTCAAACATTGAAAAACTTATGGTAGCACAGTAAAAGTTGCTCAATACGGAAATCGGACTAATGTGGACATTAATCGTGGTCCTGTCACAAGCCTGACGGTCACAGTCAGTTGGTTTTATTGTGACTTATTTCAATATCTTTGTAGTTTGAAAGTCAGGCGCAATTGTAGAAGTAATGTATGGCTGCAAAAGTGGTGCTTTAGCAATGGCTGGTGCTCTGTTGCAGCTCGTCTGCACCGTGCGAGCGACCAGCAAGAAGCGCACCATCCCCGTGATCGTGCGAGTGTCTGACGTCAACGACAACGCTCCCGAATTCATCGACGCGCCGTACCGCGCGCAAGTGTCAGAGGTGAGTTCGCATTTCGCGCCCCTCCCTGCCCAGCTTCACCTCGTGTCCACCCCTCCCCCGCCTCCACCCCGCCCGCCCTCACCCTGCTCCCTCTTCAACACGCCCGGACTCCACCAGGCCTCGCCTTCACCCCTATGTCTTCACTCCACTCTCCTACTCCTTAACCTTTGGACCAGCCCTCCAACCGCGTTGCCCCCGTAGCCTTCGCTCAGTCCTCTACCTCTTTCCAACTGCGCCTTCTCGCCACTCCGCTGCTCAATCTTCCCGCACTCTCACTCTTTTTGTAATCCCCGGCGCTAGCGCTCTCTCGCCGTAGATCCCAGTGATTACTCTTTTGTAGCCGAGCGCGCTTTCCACGCCTATTACGATTTGCAGGTTGCTTTGTTCCTAGCTTTGATTTTTATCTCTTACTCTTCGCCTTTCATTGACTTACGATCTCGTTTCCTAAGCTCTAGGATTTGTTGCTTATATCGTTTTAAAACACAGAATAATGTAGATATCTTTAAGAAAATCTCCTTAAAAATTGGGAATACGTTTATTTTAATAATTGACCTCCTATCTTCCTTTGTAAGGTTAAGTTCTTTTTTATTTATTTCTTGATATTTTTATGTAAATTGTTTGAAAAAACTGCTTCTTCTATTACTTCGTAACGATTCATTGAGAAATAATAATATTTTGATTCTAGACATTTGCTCAACAAACATAGTTATAGAGATTCCTTCCTGATGGAAATTTCTCTGCATGAATATGCAAAGAGTTATTCTGAAACAGCAGTATGTTCTAGTGGAGTACTATATTCTTTCCCTGCATTGTTTTCATTTATTAAGAGTACACTTCATTAGAAGCATAGTTACAAGCGAAGAGAGAAAGCTCCATTCGAACGCGAAGATCTGTCGGGAATGTGTGTGCAATTCCTTCGGAAACACTTTCCAAGAAACGAGATACATACGATGGTAATTGCACGTTTCATTCTTCACATCCCGTTGGAAAGTTATCTCTATTTCGATTAGAGTGGATACACTCCGGCCTTCGCAAAAAAGCGTTGGGCAATCGCCGAAGGAAAAGTGTGAAAGCATCGAGAGGCGACGTGGGAAGGTGGCAGCCCTGACCCGGTGCAAGGGAGCGGCGCCCACGCCACCGCCGACTCCCTGCGTCCGCGCCGCCGCTGCTGCTAGCTCCTTGCCTTCGTGGCCCTGGACCCCGTCGCGGCCAAGCGACATTGCAGCCGCGTGGGACTGCGTCGCGGGGCGTCCCGGGGCGCCGGAGGAGGCTGCGGGCGGGCGAAAGCCGCGCTGGCTGCGCCGCCCCTCGCTTTCGCCGGCCGGTGCAGGGCAAGAGACCCGGCGCCTCAGGACGGGTCAGCGACCGCGGACATGAATGGAAGAGGGCAATGCGTTTGGGTTGATGAGGCAGGATTCCCGAGATAGAGGGATTTGATACATGATATTGTTACAAACGAGAAAGGGAGGACTGTTGGAAGAGAAAAAATGAATAGGAGGCAAGCGATGGAGGATAACTTGACGGGAGTATGACTGAACAGAGACAGTATTCTTTTCTGTAGAATATACGTTTCATAAATGGTACAGAATAACATGAGTAAATGTGAACATTGCCAATATAGCGGGTAAGGGTGCTCGTGCGTAAATGAAGAGGTACTCAGGCATTCTGGTGGGCGGTCCTGTGAACGAAAGAGCGTCTGATGCGAAGGGCCGATGCGCAGTCTGGAAAGACCCATGCGCTAGAGAATGATTTCTAGGACGAGTAAACCAAAGTGTCGTAAGGGAGACCAGCGCATGACTAGAACACGACACTTGTCTAGAGATGCGGGCGGGGAGGCAGCTGTACCGCTCTTGGCATCGAGCCGATTGAGAAGTGGAAGAGGAAGGAGGAGAAGAGTCGCGCAGCGAGTGGGCGGGGCGGTCGCCACCGCAGGTCTCCACCTGCCGTGCCTGTGCCGTGCGCGCTGCCTGGCTGCTGCTAATGGGAGTCGAAGCCCGCTGGGCCTGCGTCGTGGCCTCGCGGCGCCGCGCAGGAAAGAGGGGCTCGCGCCGTGGGCGCAAGGCGGCGGGGGGCGGGGGCGGGGGCAGTGGGTGGGGGCGGAGGCGGGGGAGCGGGGCGGGGGCGGGGAGCGGGCGGGGGCGGGCCAAGAGGGCGGGGGCGGGGGCGGCGAGGGCGCCACAAAGACGCGTAATGCGATCGCGCTGCTGAGCGCGAGCGTGACGACTCGCAGAGCCACCGCCTCCACTTGCTACTCGACGCCCGGCCCCGCCCAACGACAAAGACATGTTATATTCCCTGCCACACATTTCCCATCCACACGAAATTACCACAAAATTGGAAGAATTTACTTGACTTTTTCTTCCATTTTTTTTTGTTTTAAGGATTTGAGCTTGCTCTATTCACAATCATCAAGGTCGTCCTTTTATCTTCTCTTTGGACGAACAGCACCTTTTTCTTTTCTTTTGTGGTTTGTTGTGTCTGATTCGTTCACCAGTCTTTTTGTCGCTCGATTCGCTCGCCACGTCACTATTTTATTTAGAACGTGGTTATTCATTTGTCTGTGACACTTCTCTCTTATGATTTTATTTTATCGACTATTTTGCTTACGTCTGGAAAGTTACATTAGCATTAGCATTATAAATATATTAGCATAAATAACATCCATTAAATCATACTATTATTAAAAACTGATGTGATGAACAAAGTAACATCTATTAGTAATGAGTTGCTGGATATTTCAATGACAACAATCCGTATTACTATGCCAGACAATTTGTTTGTTACATTCATAACACTTTTCCTTTCATGCAGTCGGAGAACTGGAAATATATATTGGATGCAAGAATACCCAAGACACGATCCGTCATCTGCTAAAAAGGAATCTGTGTCATTAATGCGCGGAATAAATGTTGCTTAACACGTATCACGCATGAATGAAATGGTGATCAAAGTCGGTGAAGGGTATCGATGGCAGCTGAAGGACGACCGCCAATGCGCTGTTCAGCCAGACGAGGACACCTGAGAAGGTATATGCGCACGTGAAAGATGTGCGTGCTTGCACACGTCCATGCTGTGCAAAATCAAAGCATATCAAGATCGACTGAACGTATTTTCTTAGCAACATGCGGAATACTTCCTCGGTGCGCGTGCACAAGAAAATGAAGAAAATACTTTTAGAACTTCATTAATGCGAGAGAAACGCTTCATGATCAATGCGTTGTACTACTATGTTGTTCAAAAACTTTAGGAAGAAGATATGCATAGAAGAGTCATACATTACAACAGAAATATAATATAACAAAATTGTAGTAATATGAAGGTTTGCATGATTACGTACTTGTTAGGAGAGTGATAATGTAATAAATGAATAACTTTTGAGCAATTTTCATGATATATTACATACTTACTTCCTTTCTAGGCTTGTAGATATTAAATTAGTATTTATGTTTTTTACAATTGTCAAGTGTTACAATTTATAATAGTCACAACTTCCATGTAAAAAATTATTTTTATTACATTTTTCTGCATATTTCTGGCTCAAAATATACAAAATAATAGTATAACTTCGACTAACCTTTGATATTTTAAAGAAACGAAACGAAGAAACAAATCCTAGATGTGATAATTTTTTAAACTAATTTTTATTTTTAAATAATTTACACAATAATATATTATTTTCATTTTCCTATGTTTTTCTTCGGGATATCAGTCAATTTTAACCACGCAAATGTAACGCATCGAGTTTGGCTTACGCTGTAAGTAGTACTTGAGTTATCGTGGGCTGCCACTACGAGCGCTTGCAAAGCCACCGCACACCTGCTGCTCTCTCGTTGTGTGCGCTGGAAGCAATTTTTTTTTCCCTGGCGGCGAAGAGTAACGGGTTTTCACTGCAACTTGGAATGGGGGCCATGCACTCCATGGCAGCAGCCCCTGGGAGTATGCAACCCTCCGAGTGCTCGGGTGCGGCGGGCCGGACGTTGTCGCCTTTTTCGGTGAAATGGAGAGAACGAGCGGAAGAGGAAACCGGAAGCGGGGGGAGACGTTGGAGCGAAAACGCAGGATACGAACTAGAGGTGGGACGGGGAAAGGAGTATTGATGGAAATTGGGAATGAAATGGAAAGCCACGGTGCTTGAGTATCATGCTCGTCAGAGACTTAATTCATTTGTAATAGTAACCTTTTGAGGACCATTGTTTGCTGCACATTTCTATTGAAGAAGAGCGCTTGCTATGAGATCTTCTCAAGACCCAAAACAGAGAGCGTTTTGAACATTGTGAGGGGTCGTTCTCAGAGTCATTAACAGTATCGCCAAGTGCATTAAAGCAGTAGACGTTCTCTTCATAACGCACTTCCGTAATACAACACTCCCATAATATAATTAATGAAGTATTCACTCTTTTTTGACTACGTTTACAATACGTGTCACAAGAAGATCTTAAAGATTTGTTGTTCTAGGTATCAATATTTTTAATTTTTAATAATGTACAAAATCTATAATTGGCATTCAAACATTTTTCGAGTTTCCTATGAAACGTGTTGATGTTTTTGTTTAACCAATTCTTTCGTCTGTTTCAAAATTTAAAAACCAATAAACTATTCAGAATAAATGCGTCGAATAAAAGGAAAGATAAATAACGTTGAATAAAACTAAACAAATCAAAGAGGAAAAAAGAGAAGTCATGGTTAAAAGCATAGTCAACTTAACATAAACAATACTATTCTAAATTAATGTTATCTGATATGCGTATGGGTTTCCAAATTCTGTACATTATTAAAGATTTTTATTTTATTTTTTCCCCGTTCGCTTTGTTGGCTTTCGTATGATTCACTGCGATTGTATTGTACACGAAATACATATTCACTCCAAGTAAGACACTCAATGGGAAACAAAATATGCAATGCATAACTTAACATCCATCTAGTAGGATCCCAGCACTGCAGGAAAAAGAACAAGATTGTAAACAAACTGAATAAATGCGCAGTGAACAACAAATATTTTTAAAGAAAACATCCGCTGTATTGCATAAAATTACTTAAATGCTTCACAATAAGAATAAATTGACTCTTAATGCTTTATAAATAAAACATACAAACATGTTTGGCTTCAAGAAATAAATAATATAACAAAATAGATAGGCTGTGGGATAAAAATAAGAATAAATAAATGCAAACTCTCAAGAATGTGATTTGAATTTCCATCTATGCATATAAATAACATATGAATCGCATTAATTATATTAATATTAATACCTATTACACTTTATTAACCTACAGGCACCAAAGGACATGATATTTCATTGTGCATTTGTTACTTCAGTCGTCTAGTTGTCATCTTGTACCGTTACACAGTCGCCTTTTGACTCTTCTGTTTTCCATTGTCTCTCTGAAAACTTTAAACTGTATTTAAGGTCTTCCTCGCTATCTTCTATCAGCCTGAGTCCAATAGTATGGCTTTTTCGCCTAAATGTTGTTGGACATCCTTTGCATATGCATTGTCGTTTTAGTCGCTTCGTTTTGTTGTTATCAATAATATCGATATTTATGACTCTAATTGTCATTGTTAATCTACATCATCTGCTGCAAAAATCCAATTATTCTAAATCTTGATTTTACCTTCATTGTCATCGACATGGCGTATAAAAATGGATTGTTAACAAGGTTGTATGTGTATTTTATTTCATGCTTTGTAGCTTTGAATTTCAGTTTTATTAAAACACAAATATATATTACACCAACTACGCAGAATATGCTTTACAAACTATAACGTTAAAGCGCATTCTCCCATTTACGCTACTTTAACTCAAACTATACAACACTAGCGCAACATTTAATCGATTCCTTTCCCATTTGAAATGTATTATTCATTAATCTTCTTCAAGACAAATAAAATTGCAAGCCCGAGTTTCGACCCACATCTGTACTTGCAGTACGAGTACAAAACAAAACCGAACACTTTCAGACATAAACATGCTCATCTTGGCCCCCGTGGTTTAAGACCAACAAATGAGGCGCCATTTTACTCGCATTATCAGCAACTCTAAGAAAAATATTGTTCACAGTTAAGCTCCCAAAGGCCGGAATTCTGGATTGATAAACCAACTAACTTGTAAACGAAACCATCGCAAATGCCATAATTGATTTTTCACTTATATTTTCTTTTAGAACCAGTTTTTATTGCTCTATTCTTTACCTCTTCCTTATAGACCCTTAAAACAACTAATGCTTGTTTTGACACCTCATTACTCAATGAATATGTGCATATATATGAAACCAAAATATAAAACAAGTTTTGAATAATTTGTCAGTTAACATGTCAGTCCCATACTCAGTTTCCGCGAATTTACACATAACTTACGTCGACCTTCAACAGCGGGTGTATCAATAGTAGTAATTTGCGACGGACACAGAAATTGAAAGACCATTAAATTGCCATTGACTACGTGTGATTTTTCTATGTCTCCTTTAGATACCAGGAACTAGGCAGAAAAAAACAATGAAACAACACGAACATTGGCACTCGCACTTGCAGCGTGTGTGCTAGTTTTGGGGAAAACAATTTTATGTGGTTTTGTTTGCTACTGCATGCCGCTATTTATTGTGTATTTTCATTGTTTCTCGTATATTTTGCCTCCAGTTTCTTAATTATCCTCGAAACTACTTTGCATTTTTTAAGAAAATAAGTATAAACACTAGGCACATAACAATAATTTTATTTTTGTTATTTTAAAGATTTACAGATTTTTTGAAAAGGCTAAAATTAATTGCGATAGTAAATTTAGTTAACAGGCATTACAGAATGCAATTGTGTTAAGCGAGTATGCAATGACTGCAGTGTTGTCAAAGTGCGGTGTTGCCCTGCAGCTGACGCCCGTGGGGTCGACGGTGTTCGCCGGGCTGCGGGCTCGCGACGCGGACGCCGGCGTCAACGGGCTGGTGGAGTACTTCCTGGCGGAGGGCGCGGCGGGCGCGGCGGCGGCGGCGGCGGCCGCCGAGGACCCGCGCCTCTCCGCCGCCGACGGCTTCGGCGTCTTCGCCATCCCGCTGCCGCACCAGGGGCAGGTGACGCTGGTCCGCGCCCTCGACTACGAGCGCACGCAGCGCTACCTGCTCACCATCGTCGCCTCGGTGAGTGCTCCCCCCCCCCTCCCGCGGCGCGCAGGCGCCTCTCTCTGCGTATCGAGTGAAGGCCGCAGCTCCGTTCGCGTTTTCGAAAATTCGGTCAAAAATCAATAGGAGGCGGATTTTTACGAAATGTCATTTTTTATTTCGCTATGCCGTTTAGTATAGACATTAATTTTATGTTATGACAAAAGGAAATGAACCATTTTTGTCATTTTTTTACATTCATCGTCCAAAAGTAATTTTTTACATTTTCCCGTCATTTGTAATGTAATTTTCACCGATTTGATTTTAATATAATTTTGATGATACTTGCTTCAAATAATATTTTCGTGATGCAACATATGTTTTCCAAAGCATACCTGTGTAGCCGATTCGATTTCTTCGGCCATAAGTTGTAATGTCAGCCGCTGTGAGTACTCCGTAATGTCAGGCTTCTCTGGCCTCTATCAACGCCATTGTCGGTTCGGACGAATTCGCAATAAATGAAGGCAGAGGTTTTCTTTTAAAGAACGGTACAAACCAAACGTTTGCAAGCTGAGTTCACTTGGACGTAAAGAAGTCTCGATTACTTCAGTAATATGTCCAACAGCTTGAGTTGTGTATCTGTACTGTTTTCGATCACATTTTACGATGTTTTAGGTCATCAAAATCCGCCTCTTAGTTATCAATGACCACATCTACCGAGCGTCCTGAAACTCCAATCTATCCATCAATCATTTGTCGATTCAGATAGTTTCTATTACAAAGGAGTCAATTTTTTTGTCGTTTAATATTGTTAATAATGCTCGTAGTTTTTATATCATTTATAATTTAACTCTAATGAGAGAGATGAGCTAGAGATTCCGGAGCTCAAGAAAATGTGAGCATGTAATGAAGTTTTCTGATGAAAAACGTAAATGTTTCGCGAGATTCAGATCGTTGAGTGAATGTCATAGAATGCGTGCAACGCGGAAACAAGTTTTAATCTAGATTGTAGCAAATAAGGATAATTAGCTAGTAAGATCGTGGAAATAAAATGTTGCACTTTCGAGTGAAAGAGAAAAATCGTGAATAAATGTAACACTTGCATATACCAGATTGATTTTTAAGAGTCTGAAATAGCATAGTGAAAATAAGGAGTTTTTAAATTCAGTCTTGTAGTATATCCTCCTGTATGTTCTAAATGCTATTTAATTCATTTTCGGTAAGTTGTACGGTTGAATCAAATCTCTCGATAACTTTTCATGTTGATCATTCCTTTATTAATAGAGCTTCAGAAGTGAATTAAGTTAAATAGAAACGTGAATGAAATAATTTTCTATATTAGTGAATAAAATGACCTTCCTTTAGGACATGAGGAGAGACTTTAAAAGTAGCTAATAAATAAATGCAATTAGTTTACCACCTTTCTTATAAAGTGTTGCCGCAGAACAAAACAGGTTTATGATTATAAAACGCATTTAATACTACTTATTACTTATAGATACAAGTAGTACTTACAACAGCTTAATTAAGCTTAATTACTACGTAACTGAACTCAACAAATACTCACTTTGACAGGAATCATAATATTCCATCAGAAAAACCAAAATGCTGTAAGTGAAATCAAAAACCAGCGTATTTAAATAGACAAAAGGAGAAGTAGCGTAGTCATTCTCACGTGTGCTCGTATTATAATCCTTTTCTATTTCTTGCAACCAACAAATAAGAAAAGAACATGGTACACTCATTTACTCGAGGAAGGATAATATTACATAATATCAACGCAATATCAATTTTAATGACAGTGTCCACTACTTCCGAGCGTTTTCAAAGCTTAACAACAAGAGAAAGTCGTTCTTGATAAGGATACAAATCGTGCGAGCGCAGCAAAGGCGGCTGTCGAGTCCGCGTGCGCGCCCCCTGCCGTCGCGCAGCGGAGAGCGCCGGTCGTGACGTCACGCCGGGCGCCGAGCGCCAGCCTCCCTCCAGGCCCCGCCGCCGCCGCCAGTCGCCGCTCGCCAGGCGCCCACGCTCCTTCGCCACGTTCAATGCAACGAGGGGGCTGGCTTCCGTTCGGAACATGAGGGGCTCGGTGCTGTGTTTAGTGATTGGTTGTGGTGACATTCAGGCGCAGTTGTCATGAATGCACTTGTTAGTTGCCGAAGAAAACTGTAATGTGATAAAATCTTGTTTTTTTCCAACCAAGTTCTGTCATCATCAGTGAATGAAGTGTTGTGGTCTTTGAATTCATGAATAATTATTCGCCTCGTATCATTCTTTTGAACATTATAATATTTTCAGTGAGTAATGCAATGTTCTCAGCAAGTAAATTATTTTTTTATTAGCAAAGCGATGTGTTTTTACGGAAGCAAAAATACTTTGTAACTCGGTAGTTGTGTTAATTGAACAAAACCATAATTTCTTAAAGTAAATCTCCGAAACTGCCCAGTCTCTGATTAGTAGCCGAGTTCACGAACTGGAAGCTGACATTAATTGTATATTCATGAGAGGAAAGAAATTAATGTGATAATCGGCTGTTACTTACACGGACATGCTCCTTATAAGTTCGGTTCATCGACCCGGCGCTCATACGATTGTGCTATTCGAATAAAGCGAATGTTTTGTCTTGTAAATGTACTTAACAGTAAAGTGACTAGAACACTATTTCGCGAAAGGAAAATAAAATAATTAGTCTTTTTAATTCACTTTTATCAGCATTTTTTCTGAATTTATGTTTATTTACAGAGATTTTAGATATTTACAGAGATTTTAGACATTTATTAAACACATCTGTCGTAATTTTTTAAGAATTAAATGTGTCAGTATATGCAATTCGATGTACGTCTATTGGAGTTAAATAGAACGCATTTGCATACGACCACAGTAGAAACTACAATAGTACTCTGTAAAGTTTGTCACATTACGTAATTCTCAGAAGGTTAGCAAGTTTTTTCACGTTGGAGAAGCACAATTCTTTTTGTACGACATATAAAAGCTTTTAGTTTGTCTGAAGCGTGTTATGAATTGTTATTTACATCATACTCACTGAAAATCAAGAAACCAGCTATTGCTTTCCCTTCTGCAGAAATATTGTATGGAAGTCCCTAGAATGCAAGTTTTGTTTCAATGACTGCTTCTTTCAAAAGTTCTGAAGAAGGAATGATAAGGAACATACTCGGATTCATTAGCTTCATTCAAACACTGAAAAGTCAAAATAGCGGCCACCACAGCCAATCATTAAATCATCACGGGGATATAGTGTAAACTATTCGTAGATCTTTTTGAACATTTTCGCAACTTATTACACACATTATCAGTCATCCAGTTGCATCGCGCACGCCGCCCCGTCGCGTGGCCACCGGCGTTCAAATCGCCAGAGAAAGGTGCGACTGGCGACCCGCTCCATGTCACGCAGTCGATGACGCATCGACCGGCCGAGGGCGCTGCAGCGAGCGAGCGCGCGCGGGCGCCTCACCTGAGCGTCGAGAGAGCGCGCCGCGAGCGCGCACGCGCGTGCATTGGCGTGCGGGGCGTGATCGGCGGGCGGCGAGCGCAGTCGCGTCCGCGATGGCCTCGGTGCTCGTCGCGCTGCTGCTCGCGTCCGCCGCGTCGGCGCTCACGACCGTCACGTCGCCCTCGGCGGCGGCGGCGGCGGCGCCCGCCCACGGTGGGGACGCAACGCGCGTCGGCGCCGCGCTCGCGATAGCGGCGGCCCGCGAGGCGAGCGGCAACGCCACGCGCAGCGGCGAAGCGCTTAGTGACGAATCGAGCGACAATGTGACGCCTAACGCCACGCCCGCCCCCGCTGCCCCGCAGGACCGCGCGCGCAACGCCTCCGAGCGCTTCTCCACCACCACCACCCTCACGGTGGACGTGAAGGACGAGGACGACCTGGAGCCGTCCTTCATCTACCAGGGCTGCACCGTCCTGCACGGGGCCTGCGTCAACCCCGAGTACCGCGCCACGGTGAGTGTTCGCCGCCGCGCGGCCTTTGCGCGCTTTCGCGTGCTGCGGGGCGAGGTGTTTTGGCTTTCGTAACAAACGTGCGCCGCCTAGGCTCCCGCAACTATTTGCAGACGTGGTCACTTGTTGTGTTGGGGGTGAGCTGTGGGGGTTTCAAAATATTGCTGTCGTTTTCCCATTGTGATGACTTGCGTCAGATTGTGATCCCGAGATCGTTACTTTTCCCCTTTCTGACATTTTCCCATACTGATGAAGGAAAATCAAACATTTGACTTCAGTATCTAGAGAAAAGTATACGAAAGAAGGTGGATTTCACTTTTAATCGCAGTATTAAAGTTTTATTGCAGTAGAGGATATTTTAGTTTTACGTATATTCTCATTGAAACTTCCTGCTTATAGCGATTAAACATTTGATTTATCAGAAAAAATGTGAGATTGAAAAGTTAGTTTTCTTCACAATGTTCTTATCTTCTCAAGTTTTCATTACTTACGTTTCACTTTCATTACTGACGTTATGAAATGTACGTATTAAGTTATCAATATAATTACTAGCAAATGAAAATAAAATATTTTAACGCTCATTTATTCCTCTTTTTCCTGTACACTAATTTCAGTTGGGTGAAACGCACAATTTAGATGCTTCTTTCATGACAACCTCTTTCGTGTTTGAAATATAACTGTTCAGAATTGGATTTCGACGAAAAATGAGTGATCGTTTAGAATATAACTATCATAAAGATATAGGCATTGAGTTTAATGTTCAACGTTTCACTTCACCGGATTTTTTTAGCTATTTTTGTGATGACAACCATTACCAATACTTTTTTGGAATCTGTTCTGAAGACCTTTCGGCTAACTAAATGTTAAAAAAAGATACAGTACACTTGCTAACGTTTGCAACTTAAATTCTCGTTTTTATGATGTTTTCTTCATTTTCCTCTAAATGTGACTAATTAAAAATGATTTAATAATGTACAATATTAATATTACATAATTACGATAACCAATGATTGACGTTTCGATTTTTGGTTTCTTACGAAGTATTTTGCTGTTGTGAAAAGCTCGATAGTAAAATGTGATAGTGATATGGTTATACAGTAATAATAACAGGGGAATGTTCTTCGATGTGAAGAGAGAAGAAATAATTCAGACCAATGAACATACATTTGAAAAAGATTTGGATCAGAAATAGTCGTTAGGATACGCAAAGATACCGGAACTAATGAGAGAGTTCAAGAAATTATCTCATGAATTTTCCTTGTATAGTTTTCAATGCCATTCGTAATTATTGTATCCAATGAGTTTGACTTGTTGTCTAGTATATCATCATGAAGATTTCGGACTGGCATTAAAGGAAATTGCTAATTATCTAAAAATATTCGTAGAAGATAAAAAGAAAACTGATTCAATGATTTTCTAGATGTTCTGCGTACGTTTTTTCGTGATTTTAAGTTGTGATTCTTAAAGGTAAATCAGTTAAAGATTAGGCAATCTTTGCAATTGTATTTTAATGTCACCATAAAATCTTTGATGAGGCTTGCACTGGGTTTGCAGATAACTTGTAACACACGTTTCATTCGTAGGCCAGAATTCGAACTCATCACTTATTGGAATGCCAAATTCGTGAAATGTGCTGTGGAAAGTAGGTTGTATCTAACAACATTTGTCAATATTATATTCTAAACTGATGGACACAAATTTCGTTGTAAAGTTCAATGACGTAGCAATAGTTATGTAAATATGCAAATTATTATTCTCTCTCAACGGACAACTCACAACTCAAAGAGCAATACAGCACCCTGCAATGAAATTTATAACTTTGTGAGCTGACGGGAATATGTGAGTTAGAACAGTTTTACCGTTTTTGTGAGTTAGAACAGTTTTGCCGTTTTCATAAAGATCATGATAGCGCTTAAAGAAAACCTGAGCAATCATAGATTTAACTCTCTGAAGAACACTTCAGTTATCTTTGTAACATTTACAATTACACCTAAAATTATTTTGTGTCTCTACAGAAAATTAATTTAATTTATCGCAGGAAAATAATCGAGAATACCCGCGTATAATGTCTGGCAAAAGTACAAAAGTTTTTTGAAAGTAAAGCATTTTGAAATATTTATGTAATTTTGGCATAGACTGTAGTGTTTGACGCGCATTGCAAAAAATAGGAATTACTCAATAAATGCTAATTTAATGTAAGATTGTATTTATGTACTTGGATTTATTTTTACGCCCGTCAAATAGATTCAACATACGAATATTGTCTAATATACTCGTATATTAGAAGAAATATTTCTTTCAATATATCGTAAAATAGAAGTGATAAAAAAGGAATGATACAAGCATCTAATGGGCCTTATTCCTTCATGTACCTCCATGAAAGCTGCACTGCAATATCTTCAAAAATGGAAATGTGGTAACTTGCGTGACTCATCTGCATTTCGGGCTCCGTATCGAAAGAAATAACATATCAGTAAAAATATATCTTATTTTACCATTTGTTATGCTTTATGCTAATTTGCTAGTTACGTTTTACTGAATTCGTGTTGCGTTTGATTCATCATAAGATTCACCATTGAAACAGCGAGTCAAACGTTTTCCTAATACAGAAAAGTTCTTTTCTTGGAGATTTCCCACTACAACAAACCATTCACATGACACGACTGGTATTTGGCTATAGCAGTCGTGTCGTACGACTAGTTCGATGTAGCGGAAATCTCCGGGAGAATTATTTATATACTCCACACAGAGTTTCATCTCACAACAGATCTGCAGCAGTTGCGCTGCGAGGTGTTTGACCATCCACTCTACTCCGCATCTCGTTGTGAAGCCATTGAAGACACGTTGTGAAGTGTTGTCATACACTTCTAGATATTCCTGTTCGGTCAGCATTACTTATATCACGGGGAGGAGAGTTGCAGGTTGCTGTCAGACATTGGTCCTTATCTCAGGCGGTAGACTTCTACAAATATTGATCCCACGGTATTAAAAATGTCTCAATTCTGACGGTGGAGTGGAAAAATAGTGCAACGTATGCTATATGTGCTATAGTAAAGTTTAATACGATTTTTTTACGATCTAAGAAACCGTGTTTGCTGAACCCGCCCCATGCTTCTAATGGCGCTATCGAGAGGCAAACGAAAGCGTCGTTGCGCCAGAGTTTCGCGCGGTGCCGGGGGCGGGGGGGGTTCGTCCGCCTGCAGCACCGGCGCGGCCGGACGCCAGGGGCCCGCACCGTGGCGGTCGGGTGGCGACCGATGTGACAGCGCGACGCCTCGCACCGCCTCCAGCGCGTCCCCACACAGCACGTGGGCCATGGAACTGCCGCCGCCCGCCACACGTTCTCCAGTTTACGAAGCGCCGCGCGCGTAGAAAGGCAGGAGGTGGTCGGGAGCAGCGGGGGGGGGGGGGTTGGCTGAGGAGCGGCCAGGCCGCCCGCCTTCCGGAGCTGGACCGCGGTTCTGCTGCTCGTCGACTCCCGTGGAACTTGCGGTGGGCAAAGTGGGTTTCCTCTTGTTTCCGTGCCCCTCATTCAACCATGCACACACAAGCATCCAGTCAATCATCTATTATCTGAAGGGGTTAGGCAATGGAATTATAAAGAAGCACGTTTTATGAACTATCGTCGAGAGTGGGCTCATGAGTGTCATGGTGGTTTTTGGGATTGTACTAATAATTACAGAATGTAATGAAACAATATCTTTGGAGTTTTCTATCGATTGTCCGTGTAGAGCACGTATAGAACTGCTCTGTTATATATTTTCTATTGTCCCTTTTGTACGTTTTAATCGCTCTGGTTCAGCTGTCTTATACAATATCTTGACCGAAGTTGAAATAAATGACTTTGAAGTTTTCGTGCACCTACTGACGATTAGTGTTCCTTCTTATCATGCGAGGTCATAACTGAAATGTCATCGAGTCTGAAGTTAAGGTCAATTTTAAAATATATGTCATGGTTTTCGATTTGTTTCCCTTTCTGTACATGTTTTTGCGTAAGGATTGGCAGGTTTCCTCTTTCACTACTGGACCTTGGGGTTTGGTCCTACACTATGACCTCTGAACTATACATGAAAATTTACTTCCATTCGAATGAAAGTTGACACTGCTTACGAGCTTTTCAAGAGGAGATTCCGTGCATCTTCGCACTAAATCAGCCGAAGAAGTCCAAGTAACGACAGCAATGGCGGTGCCAGAAAAAAAGGGAGTAAATCATTCGAAATATTTCCTAATTTAAAATCGGTAAAAGAACATTTTTTAGAAAGTATTCTCGAAGTATAAAAACATTTAATTTTTCTACTCGCTACATGAAGACTTTTTCTTCATATTGTTATGTTTTGTACCCATTCGTAAATATTATAACCTTCAAATAACTTAGAAGAATTATTGAATTCTAACATAATTTACTTTCATTCACAATCGAATTGTTCTCCGAAAAGTCTGTGAATTAATTTTACATGTATTGCGGGTTGTTTCTGATAAATTTTGTGATTTATTATACTATTACTGTACTAAGGAGGTAAAAGAACAAGCCACGAAAGGAAGCAGAATTTATGGCTGCTTAAAATACTTAGTGTGGTACAGCAAATACATATTTGAGACAAGACTCAAAAATAAGACGATAAGTAGTTGGACTACCGATTTTAACACATTTAGCAGAGACACGAAGTGAAACAAAGCATGTAACGTCAGCTAGAAGTGGCAGAAATGCGTGTGTGTGTGTGTGTGTTGAAGAAAATTATAAACAAAACGTGCTTGGATAGAGAAAGAAATGATAACAGTAGATCAACATGTGAAATTAATCCCACTTCCGAGTGGATAATATCACGAAGAAGATAATGGAATCAAGAAATTGATAGAATGAACGAAGAGACAAGTGTAAGGGTCTCGAGAAATACTAACCCTGTGGGAAGAAGATATCCCAGAAGTCCTAGGCGACGACAGCTCAAAAGTTATTAAATGCAAGGAATGGAATGGGCCTATGACCTACTAAGAAGTAGAAGGCT